CCATCTGGGAGCATTCCTCTGGCTCTGCAGAGTCTATTTTACAAGCTTCAATACAGCCAAACTAGTGTTGCGACGAAAGAATTAACCAAGTCTTTTGGATGGGACACATATGATTCTTTCATGCAGCATGATGTTCAAGAACTTAATAGGGTTCTTTGTGAAAAGCTTGAAGATAAGATGAAGGTCTGTGTCTTCTTTTTTAGACTGCTTAAATTATGAATGTTGAATGATGTTTTTTCTCTCTCTCTCTCTCTCTCTCATTCTTTTCTCTTTTTTTTTTCACTCATGTTTTTGCTTGACTCAGGGAACGGTGGTAGAGGGTACAATTCAACAGTTGTTCGAAGGGCATCATATGAATTATATTGAATGTGTCAACGTGGATTATAAATCAACCCGGAAAGAATCATTTTATGGTACAACTTTAAGGTTACAATGGATGAATAAATTATTTGAGGATTGAATAGTGGGTCTTACGGAATTTGATAAATTACTTGTAGACCTTCAGCTTGATGTAAAAGGCTGCAAAGATGTCTATGCTTCTTTTGAAAAATATGTGGAAGTGGAGCACCTTGAGGGCGATAACAAATATCATGCTGAACAGCATGGGTTGCAGGTGAAATGCCTTGAAGTACATTTGTATGTTTTTTATTAGCTATAATTTTAAAGGATTTGAATGCTTTTGTTCTTAGCTGCTTTTTCTTTTTTTGTTGGTTTTTCCTCTCTTGTTCATTCTTAGCAGCTTTTTCTTTTTAGGTCGTTTATATTGTCTTCTCTCTCTTTCAAGAGCTTGCTCTCTTTCTCTCATGACTTCTATAAATGTTTGATTTGAGCTGTTTTCTTTTGGTGCACTTTGATTGATCTGTAGTTGGTATATGTTTACTCTGACAATTACCGATTAGATGATCTCTGTATCATATTTTCTGTAGTATAATCTTTTTGGCTTCTGCTTCAAGTTCTCTTTTAAGTACTTTCTTAGAAACCAAAATTTTTTGGTTCTTTTTCAGGATGCTAGGAAAGGTGTTCTTTTCATTGACTTTCCTCCTGTCCTTCAGCTTCAGTTGAAGCGTTTTGAGTATGATTTTATGCGGGATACTATGGTAAAGGTCAGTGATGGACTTATATCCGTTCGCCTTATATATTTCTATCATTGTCGGAAAAACTTAATATTTGATTTTTTTTCTAAGATTTAGTATCATATATTAAACTCCAAAGTGAATGGAAAGTGTAGAAAATTATGACTAAACTTTGATTTTTTTTTTGTTTTGCTTTTCAATATCCCCAATACTTCGCTTGAAGTATCTTTCTCTCTGGGGATCTTTAGAAAATGTGTGTTTGTGATACTCTTTTTGAGGAAAGAAGGGAATATCATTAGTGTAAAAAAACATGCACGTTTTCCTTCTATTGAAAACTATGATTGGAATTTCTGTCTGAGGTCAATTTGCTGCTCTCTTTTTTTTTTATTTTTGCAAAGAAAAGATGAAGAATTTGCATAAAGGGAGTTGATCAAAATGTTTATAGGATTTCTTAATGTTGAATAGGATATTTTATTATTTAAATTAGTTGAGATTATGTAATTAAAATTTTACGAGATAGTATCTCATATAATTAAAATTTTATTAGATAAAAATTTCTTTATCAGTAGGTTAAAAATTTT